AACCACAGATCAGAGGAGAAGCTCGGCCAAACATTAAGATGTTGTGAAAAGGGCAACGTCTACTAGTATCCATGATAGTGTGTTGTGGCTGCCAACAGAAGCTGAACAACTTTTTTGAGTACAATTGGTATGATACCATACTGATAATGGTAATAGCAGCGAAACTTGGCAACTGTGACGGTGAGAATAACAGCGCCCAGGGCAAATTTATACAAGGTGGTAGAAAGAATACGAAAACAACAATCTCATGTATATTATATTACGGGTGTTATATCAAAAGCGCCGTTCGTGCCAAAGTTTACACTCATTGTGTTTTTGCCTTAGACGGGTATGCTGTCAAATCAGTTAAAGCAAAAACAAAATACATGGAAGGCGAAGAAATCAGCTGCTCTAAGAACACCATCTTGTATAAATTCGTTAGGCAGCGGCTATCCGAAACGGTGAGAGTGGCAGTGGCACTCAATAAGCAGGCGGTAAATACAACTGCTGTTCTCAGTACGGGTGCAATGGCGAAATCTCTTGAAAATGATGAGTACCTGAAAGACTACGAAGAAGGATAAGGAGAGTGTAGTTCGGGGCCACTCGACACATACCAATGTCCATTACTTGGAGGACTCCAAGACGGTTTGTGGCGGCCTGCAAAACGTGGTAAGTAAAATTGTCCACTGTGCATTTTCTGTCTGCGTATGTGTAAGTGTATATTTCTGTGGTCATAAGCAACCCAGTAGAAATCTAAAGCATACGACATCGCTGTTGGTGGCATGAGCTTGCTCCTGTGTATACATGCCAATATAAATGAACCTTCATTTCCATTTAACACGCATGGTTTCTCAGAGCGTATGCGTACCTTAATCATACACTTGTACTACTGCAGTATGCATATGGCTGTATTAATGTTTCAAACATACAAAAATGCATTAATGAAACAGTATTAAAGCATTCTTACAAGATATGTATCCCCCTATGTAAATTCTACCTCGCTGATACATTTTAATACATGTCTTGTAAAAGTCCATTTGTGCTGAAAATAGTATCGCACAACACGTCCGTTCACTAAAATTTTTGTACAAGACTGAAAATATTACAAAAATTCCATTTCAAATTTATCAAGAAATGTACTTAAAAACGCCGACAACGTACATTCGCTTGCAATTCGCTGGAATTTGAATTTATTCGTGGAAATTCATGACTACGCATGAATTGTTCACACTAATTCACTCAAATAGCAAGCATTTTTCACGAATGCATACAACCGATTTCTACTGGGAATATATGCTATCGTATTCTGCAACTACTTTTCCTTGCATATGTGGAATCTCCATCTCGCCGGCTAGGCTACTTAGAAAGTTATAGACCAAAATATTTTTGGGAAGCCAAGGTTAATATAAGAATCCAAATGTTGCACTCTTTTGCGTTTTTCGTATAATGGACTTTTTTCTTAGAAAACTTCCTCGTGTATTTTGCTATGCTTTTCAATGTTTGAAAATCAGCAGTCAACAAAGATGCACTAGATTTGTTTATGGTTATATATGATACGCTATTGCAATATCGAATTGTTGTTTCTAGGAATTGAGTGGAACAGTGAAAGATGTTGTCAAATTACTATTCAAATCTGAGTTACATACACTTCACTTCTAATCGAACATGTTTTAGGGGAACCATAAAAAATTGTTTATATTAATAAACTTTTAAATAAACAATTGGTTATTTTTTCTGGAAGTCTCCTGAAGAGAAAAAGAGTTCAGCGATTGAAAAATATTGCTTTTCAAGGATTCTATACAATTTAGTTGTATCGCCTTATAAAATACATGGGAAACTTTGAGCGCTTTGAGCCACCTCTAAATCTTTTTTGATTGACCTAAAACTTTGTATAGTTTAGTCTTTAGGCTATTCACACATTTCTAGGGGGTGAGATCGAGAATCCGAACACTTTTATTTTTCTCCATATAACTCAGAGCCATCCTAATGTACATAATACTTATGCATTTATGTACACGAAAATAAATAATTAACTAGAGTGTTTGTAGGTGTTATGTTCGATTAGAAGTGAAGTGTATGTAACAAGGAATGAAACCGATTCAAAATAACGTTCCAGTTTGGGTTTCGGTTTTGCCAAGTGTTTCGGTTTCGGTTTTGGTTTCGTTCTTCAAAATTTATTTCGGTTTTGGTTTCGGTTTCGTTCCGGTTTCGGTTTTTCACAGAAATTTTGTTGATATTATTTAAATCACAATGTCTTAAACGCTGAGGAAAGAAAATCGAAAATTACAGTTCACTGATAATATCAACACTAGGTTCTTTCCCTAACAATCCGGACCGGATATGGTAATTAGAGAATAAGAGAAACATTTTCTTTCAAAAATGGAACAAAGTTCAGAAGTACGGAAACGCAAAAACCCACATTTCGTGCCCACAAGTCCAGAAACAGCTGATTCACGTTGTTCTTGTTTTTGTCACTTATACCATGTTCTGACCGACATCGAAAACATGTTTTCGTTGCTAAAACTGGTTTTCGACCTAAAACTTGTGTTTTCGTCCATATAAAATCTGTTAAACGAAAACCAGTTTTCGCTGAAAACTACTTGAAAACTCACTTTCCACTCATTCCAATCGGTGTCTTCACTAGTTTTTTTCGATTATTTATCGAAGTGGAAGTCATATTTTATCATCTTTAATACGCCATTTCGGATTTATTGTTAATTGCCTGGCCAAAGCAAAATAAGAATGAAAGTTAAAGGTTGTAAATGAAAAGAAAATGAAGGAAAAATGTTTTGGTTGTCGGTCAGAACATGGTATTAAATGCAAACACTGGGAAATTGAATTTTGGTTTCACAAATTTGATTTTAAGTACATAGATTGAAAATACATCAACAGGCCATTCACTTTTCCTTAAAAGCACCAAGTAAATGCAGGCAACATGTAAACACAATACAGCTGATATGCACTTTGACACTTTATCCATTTTTACTCGGAGAAAATTTCGGGCTGTTTTGGGCAGGAAGAAGAATACACTTACGATCGAATACGCTCGAATTTTCGCTCTCTATTACCCATTTTGTTGAGTACAGGCATGATTTCTGGGCTATTTTGGGCACACGCGGGATCTCGCATTGCGTACGGGAAAGAAACTACTTAAATATAATTAATCGATTCACAACAACAAAGTCATCAGCAGATTTTTGCGAAAAGTTACCTTGCCATACTTATTTACTACTTAACAAGAATTTTAGCAAAATGTTGCTGATTTTGGTTAAATAAATCATTTATTTCAAAGAAATTTGTATTTATTATTTTTGTAAATTTCTGGAAACCGATTGAAACCTGTGATTGAAATGGTTTCGGTATCGTTCCTTTTCAGGTCAAGATAACGGTTACGGTTTCGGTTTCGGTTTTGAAAAACGAAACGGTTTTAAACGGTTACGGTTTCGGTTTGGGTTTCGGTTTCATTCCTTGGTATGTAACGCAGATTTGAATAGTAATTTGACAACATCTTTCACTGTTCCACTCAATTCCTTGAAACAACAATTCGATATTGCAATAGCGTATCATAAATAACCATAAACAAATCTAGTGCACCTGTACTCTGTGTTTACTCGTACCTACCTACATACATACATACGAGTGAGCGCAAATGCTGCCGGAAGTCTACGCTGCGTATGAGTCACTTATTTGCTCTGTAAACAATGGCAAGCCAATATTTTTTACACATTTCTTATCAAAAACAAATATACATACATGGTTAATTTGTACTTGGTTTGCTTGTTATTGGTGTAGACTTTACAAGGTTGGCGACGAAGGAGTTAATGAGGAATTATGTGTTTCAACTTTATACATAAATATTTATCTTATCAGTGATATCATGTTTGTCGCTAGCTCTAGCCAGACAATTTATCATTGAAGGGAAATCGAAAATATTTGTTGTTTTCAATAGACGCACTTTAATTATTTGTAAAATCAGAGACTTTATTTGGTATTTTTTTATGACCTAGAGCTTTTGAGGAATTGCGCTTTAAAAGGGTATGGAATATTTTCGCTTTTTACTTACCGACACAATTTTGTTAAAGAAGTAGTTCTAATTTTTTTAACCCTTTAAGGCACAAGCGCAAAGTTCGCAAATTAAGAAACCAAAGAAAATTGCAGGCCGATAATTTTAATTCCAATAAGATAATAAAGGAAAAAGAATAAATACAAATATTTTGTTTATTATTTTTTTGTCTGGAATTTAAACTAGTAAATACTAAATCTTTTAATATTATTTATTTAGTATTTGTTGTTTTTTTTGTGACGAAGGCAAAACAATATAGACACTGAAAAAGAATGATAACGTTTTTTCAATACCGCTGCAATTTTCTTGCGTTCTAAAATATGATTTTCTTATGGCTTTTAAAAATTTAAATATTTAATTTTCAGCAAGAATTGCCTAATATGGTTATGTTTGCGCTTAAATTTTTTTTGGCAGTGATAACAAAATGAAATGTTATGGGATTTTTTGGCTATTGGGTATCTTACGAGATTGTAAGTTCGTCATTCTTCTGAAATTTTTGGGACTGTTTCTTATTTTTCGGAAACTTTCGAACAATTTTTTATTTTTTTGGGTCCTTTAGGCATTTGTCGGAACTTTTTCGGTAACTTTCGAGATTTTTCGTCACCTTTCGGGGATTTTCGTGCCGCTGTGGTGTAGTGGTTAGCACGTGCTTCCACTCCGAAGGGCCTGGGTTCAAGCCCTGGTCAAAGCAACATCGCAAAAAAATATAGAAACAACTTTTTTCTTAACAGCGGTCATCCCTCGGCAGGCGATGGCAAACCTCCGAGTATATTTCTGCCATGAAAAACAGCTTCTCATAAAAATGCAATCGCCGTTCGGAGTCCGCTTTGTGTGACAACATCAAGGCGCACGCCACAAATCGGAAGAGAAGCTCGGTCGAACACTAACATATGTGGAAGCGCCAATCTATTATTATTATTATAATTTCAAATAAATGCACAAATAGGTATTTATTTTGAAGTCACTTGCAGACTTCTAATGACGTATATTTGTTCTTATAAGCCAATTTTTAAGCTCCCTTAGTTTAACAAACAGAATCTAAAGAAAAATATGGTATTTACAGAAATATTTGGCGTAATTAAGAAGTAGAATAAGAACGTTATTTAATTAATTTAAATTTTAATTTACATAAATATACCCATAGACTAGCTCTTTCTTCTGATTAGTTCAAAAACTTCAGCGTAGCGTAAACAACCGCAAAAATCAAAGACAGCACGGAGGCATGAGATGCAGCCGAATTTCGTTGGTAGCAACTGTAATTAAAAAAAAAACAACACACATACATTTTTAAAAATAAGTACCCTTTTAGTTCCAAAAAAAATTATATAACTAGCTACAAAGCGCTAATACTTACGCGGCACTCTGAGTTACAGCAGTCAAATTGGAGAAATTCGTATAGTTGCTATTCACCATCGCGGCGTACGTGGACAGTATGCCGCTGGTGACCGCTCTTTGCCTTGTTAGAATGGCACCAAATGAGCTGTTCGTTGTATTGGAATAGCCGCAGATGAACGCAACATTTGTGTAATCGGTCATAACCACTTTCACTGTGACATTCTCATTTGCCTGTGGAAGGTAGTAAAAACCGCCAGGTGGTGCGATGAAAGTCGATTGAGCGCTCAAATTGGTTGTAAGCGGAGTAATCGTTGAATTCAATAGAGGATAGGTGCTGGTTGCGTTGCTGTACAAAGCGCTAGAATTGCTCGCAGAGGTTATGCTGAAGGAAAAGGCGGTGCCGTTTGTAGTAATATTCAGGCCAACACAACTCGCTGCGCTTGCCGGACTGCGGCTTGCCTCGAACCAAATGCCAGTGAACTGCAGAAGAATATATGTAGATTTAATGAGCGAGTTATTTTATGGTTGCGTGAAGACTTGATATGTATGCAAGTAAGGGATGGCATCACTTAAAATAAAATTGGATAAAGTTAAATTTAGTAAAATCAATTATACTTTGATCTTAACAACAAAGCCTAGAAGCAATGAATAACTTACATCAGGCACCAAGACAGCCGAGAATGCTACTTATTCCTATTTAAAAAATCAACTTCTCATCGGCTGGATATATCTAAATGAGCGGTATCATCGCCTAATCTCTTCGTACCGCTGCGGAAGAAGTGGTTGGCTAAGTATTTACTACCGACTAAGCAGAAACTATTGGTATAGTGAAGTGTGACAAGTTGCTGCAGCAGAGAGCAAAGTCACGATCCAGCTAATTACCCTACTAACGACTATTGAACGATGCCGAGAGAGGAGGAGGGAATGAGATATATAAAATGCGGTGCAGAAAACCATGAATGCGAAGAGCTTGACAAGTTGGCAGTCAGGAATGCAGAAATGTGACGCGAAAAGTGTATCAGCAAATGAATCAACAATCAAACGGTTTCAAGATTAGACCTGCTTCTTTCCAAGATGCAGAAAATAAAGGTGGCGACTCGCGCTTTTTGCTGACACCCTCTTCGTCGATTTGACAGTAGCCTCTCATTTGCTGACGTCATACAATACTTTATCGCACCAGGAATGAAAACGAAATTTTCTAATTGTACCCATTTAAATTTTCGATAGAGAGCGGAGAACGTCTTCCTTAATTACCATATCTAATTTTGACGCCACATCAAACAATCTTCGTATTAAAAATGGCCTTAGAAGGAATCTCTTCAAACGGTTTAAGACAAAACCTAAATATATTAACGCAAAGACGAGAGGCTATTGAATAAATTTCCTACAGGATTCCCGTATCAATTGTACCTAAAATGGTGTGAATGTACCGAATATACGTTGAACTCAAAAAGGCAAACTTTTACATCACTATGTATTAACACAAATATTGCCAGCCAATTAAAAAGCTGATCCCTCTCTCAAAGTAAACAATTAACACTCTGTAAATCTATAATTAAGACCGTCCCTTTAGACGGCATGGGAGGACAGCAAGATGAGGGGCGTCGACGAACACGACAGAAGGGTCAGGTGCCACAGGACCTGTTCACAATTACAGACCAATTTTGCTTGTTACCGAATATTTTGTAACCAGCAAATTTTGTTACGAAATATTGACACTGCTTCTTGTAATCGCTATTTTAGGTACTTTGGTATCGTTCAGTAATTCAGCTATGAAATTTTGTAGAAATTTTAGTGTTGCCTACATCACGGGACAATATTTTGCTACCTGCTCATGAGTTGGTAACAAAATTTTCAGATGCAAGAGTGCACCGAATACAAGAAGGGTTTAAAAAATTTACAGGAACTTTATTTTCTGGTAACACAATTATTGTTAAAATTGGCGTAGCTTCGGAAAGGAGAGACGGAAAGTCGAATTTGTTGGTCCCAAAGAAACGCTTGCAATGTAAATAAGGACAAGATAAAAGTTTTATTAATTAGAAACTTGATAAATAAATCATAAAATTCAATAAGGAAATAAAACGACAAATTAATAAAAGTTAAATTAAATAAAATAAAGTAAAATAAAAATAAATAAAAAATAATTGAAACAAGATAAATAGTATATTAAAAATAAATTGAATTAAATTATAATACAAAAATAAAACAAAGAAAGGATACAACCTAAAATATAGTAAACAAAAATAAAGTAAAAGGAAATAATATAAAAACAAGAAAAAATTCAAATAAAATAATAAATACTGATGGTTTTAGCGACCTTTCTACTTATAATTTAGTATTTTGCCAGCTCGAGGTCAATTTTAAAATTTTTTATGAAAACTCAAGTTTTTTGGTGTTTGTTTCCGACATATTTCGATTACGCTTCGGTAACCGTCCTCAGGGCAAATACTAAATTAAAATAATAAATTTTAAGAATTTTTACAAAAAATTTGAAACAAAAATAAATAAAATGCAATAAATTAAAATAAACCAAAAAAAATAAATACCACAAAAATAAAACTTCATAAAACAATAAAAGATAATACCATACACAATTAAATAACTATTTAAAATAAAATAAAGCAAAATCAAGGAAAACAACTAACATAAAAAAGTAAAACGGAATAAAATATAAGCAATTAAAGTAAAATGTAATGAAACAAAAGAAAAGAAAATGAAATAAAATTAAAATAAAAAAAAATTTATATACTAAAAGAAAATAAATTAAAACCAAACAAAATAAAATATAATAAAATCAAAGTAAAATTAAACTTAATCAAAATTTAACTAAATTAAGGAATTCGAAGTCATCGTAAATAAATCTCTCTAATACCGTTATCTTAATTTATAGGAAGACAGTGCCAGAGTTCATTTAAATTTTACTCTCCACCGATGACCTAAAGCCTTTGAGAGTCTGTTGTGTGAATTTTTTTTTTTTATTCATACCGTTTCTTAATTGTTCCTCGTTATCATTACGGGGACTGAAAATTGCATTAAATGCAGCGATTTTTATATTTATATCATGCAAAATCGTAATTTTGTGAATTTTTTTTTATAAAAAAAAATACTCGTTTGATTTTGTTATATTTATTTTTTCGATCGTTTTTAACCGTTATAGAAACCTAAAGTAACGAGGATAAAAATTATGTATTAGCAAGTTTTAGCACCAGTCAATTAAAAAATTGTATCATTCATTTAAATATTTCAACTTTTTTGGCGAAAGGAATTTGTATATACGCCAGATTTGTGAATTTGGCTGATTTTGTTTTGCTTTTCACATTAAAAATATACTTAAAAATTGTTTTGTGATTTGTCTTCTATGCTGTTTTGAATTTCCACTATCTCCTTTTGCTTAAAAGAACCTTAGCACTGCTTCCTTTTCATTAAAAATATTATTTTGTATTTTTAAAACTTTTAATTAATCCTTTTCGCTTGTAAAACAAATTATCCTTAAATTATTTCGAGAATTTCAAATCAAAAGAACACTATAAATATTTATTCACTAATAAGCAAGTGTATGTACTATATACATATGTCCTTATTAAAACATCCATATATGCATACATATATGTATGTATGTGTTTGCAATGCACTTGCATCATGTGACACTCACTGAACTGTTAAGATTGGTTAAACTCGTTGCATTCTGGCATGAAATTAGGCTGCTATTTTGTGCCATCACTGTACCGCTGCACAGGCAGAGTAAGGCCACTGTGACTACGTATTGTAAAAATTTATTCATTTTTATGTTTCCTTTGGGGCTTTCGAAAAAGAACACAATTAATTTTTTTAACCAAAAGCACTTTTATTTCTAAATACTTCTTTAAATTGTATTCAGCTGCGCGTTTCGTGGTGCTCGTTCGAGTGTTAAAACTAAACTAAATCACGGCAAATGTTCGATCATTTATATCATATCGTAATTGACATCTTCAATGGCTGGCACATTTTGTCGCCGACCTGGAAGCTTATTGCTAGGCTCAATGTTGTCATTAGTTAGGTAGATAAAAAATTCTTCCAGTCACAAAGGCGATGAGTAATGCAATGTGGCACGTTGGTGTTATCAGTAATTGAATATTATATGTATATGTGTTTGTCGGTACAAGTGCAAATGTTTGCAAGGAAAAATATTAATACTCGTAATTACATGTGTACATATAGTAGATATGTATGTATGTATGAGTACTATATTCTGGAAATGTATGTATGTATATGTACCTAAATTAACCCCCCTCCCCCTGTGGAGGGAAATATGCATAGAAATGGTAGTCGAGAGATCTGGGTTTAATTTTGTTTTTTTGTTTCTTTGCTAGAGCTTTTAAATTATTGCAAAAACCGCGATTTTTTGACAATTTGTCTCCGTTTTTTTCTTCAAAATCTGAAGCTATCAAAAAAGCTTTAACATTTGCCGTACCAAAATTTTTTTTTTTTAATTTTTCTTGGGCTGTGTTAAACATTGAAAAATTGGCAAATATTCAGATTTCCGTTTTTTCTACAGAAATTTTCGTTTATGTGGTCTATAACACCCTTCGCTTGTCCAATGAATATCATCATGCATGTGCAGTAGACTGCGTCTTTCTTTTGCCACTTTGTCCTACAAAGCAAGACTTCCCCTAGAAAGGTTCATTTGGTCATAAAACCGTGACCTGCGAAAAAATTTTAAAATCGGATAATCGAATATTTTGCCGATAAGTCAGTGGAAAATTTAATATATTTAAAAGGCACTTGATGGAGTTTTGTCCCCCGATATCAAAAATAGCTGCAGTATTTTTAAACCTCCCCATCTTTAAAAGTTATTAAGGTTTTTTGGGAAAAACCGTGAGGTCTTTTGAAAAATTCAACATGGCGTCTCAAATATGGCATCTAAACTAACCGTAAATTAGATTTTGCTTTACAAATTTTGTGCCACCGGAGAACCCAACACTAAAAGAGAAAAGCCCCATACAACGTCGGCATTTGAAGAAGCTACGCATATTTATCAGAAATTGTTGAAAAATGGCGAAAACCGTGACAGTGCAAAAATTGTTCGCACTTTTTGATATTTACAATAAAAAATAATTTTTTTAAGGGTTTGTATATAAAAAATGTGGGAAATTAAATTCTCTAAAAATTTTTATAAAACTGCTTTTTACGAAAAATGCGAAATAATCTGGCAAATCGCAAAAACCCAAAAAGAAAACCTAAAATACAAGAAAGCGGAATGTTCCGGAATGAAATTTAGGGTCGAGACGGTGGATCCATGATCTACGTCTCAAATAGATATAAACTGCGTCAAAAGTTCGCTACTAGAATTTTTTTTCTTCGCTCAAATTTGATAGATCGAAACTGTATGGTGGAAAGTGTGTTCTAGTATCTATTTGATACACAAAAAATGACCACAGCTGTATTTTTTGCTGATATATTACATACATATGTTCCATTTAGTTAAACAATATAAGAATATTGTAGTATGTACCACAAAAACGTATATTTTCTATAAAAAATCATAACTAAGAAAAAAAAATCTTCGCTATTAGAGATTTGGGTTGATTGTAGTTCAAAGTGTCTCTTTCCCGGTAAAAAAGTTTGAGAGAAAAAAAATAACTTTTTGAGAAATTAAATTTAAAAAAAAATTTGCACTTTTTATTTATTGTTAAATAAAAAATTTTAAATAATGAAAATCAATAATTATATCATTCTATCTTGAAGCGACAAGAATTACTGACATTTGTGTAAAAGCATTGTTGGAATCTATTAAATTTTGACAAAGTTATGGGCATTTTAAAAAAACATTCTCACTGTCAATTCGAATAATCGATTTTTGCCTGAAAAACAAAATCGCCTTTAATTCGGCCGAAAAATTTTTCCGAGCCAAAAGAAAAAATACGTGTCTCATTATTTGGACCAACAAACAATGTATTTGAGTTTGGTCGAAATTAAAAATCATGATCGTACCTGACCGGTTGTCTGGAAATGGAAAGCATCATCTAAATTTACCTTGCTAAAATTTAACCCTTTAATAATATAAAATTTCTCACGGACTAATTTATAGGCAATTTTGACCACTTTGTGAAAATTGCACGAAAAAGCTGAGCTTTAAATACCGCATACAAAAGTATTTAAAGACTTTGTCTTTACTAAATACTGGATGCAAAACCACTTAGTACTTATGACTTGATTAAACACCAAATATGTACTTGCTATTTACTCAGTGCAAAAATAAGGAATTTCGGAATTTTCGAGACTAATTCGGGGTTTCCGAGAATGTTGAGGACTATGTCCAGATTAAGAGACTACTTCGGTATTTTCAGGGCTACTTCAGCACTTTAGGTGTAATTTATGCCAATAAAACTCAACATACTTAAACTATGCCAAAAACCGGATATTTTAATTTTATTCAACCATCTTCAAAATATTTTCAAACTAAAACTTTCTTAAACCTCTCTCTTGTGATACTTTTTCAATTAACTTATACCCTGAATTCAAATATATATACAGTGACGAACAAAAGCATTGGCCCATTGAATTTTTCGCAATATGTGCGATATTTTTAATTCTTATTAATTTGCAATAATTTTTTATAAAAATATGGTTCTTATTCCACCAAAAAACATAAAAATAAAATCTCGAACTTTGTGCAAAATTCAGGAAAATTCAATAAATTTCCATACTAATTTGCAACTTTTTATTCAGATTTTTTAGAAAAATTCTAAGAATGTAGTTTTATAGCCCACTCAAAATTAGTAAAGTTAAAGTTGCTAGCGCTGATTTTTGGCAATTTTTTCAAGCGGGTTCTTCCATACAAAGTAACCTACAAAGTATGTTCGACAATTATTTTTTGTATGGAGAAAATGAGCAGTATAAAACTGCATTCTTAGAATGTTTCTAAAAAATCTGAATAAAGAGTTGCAAATTGGTATGCAAATTTATTGAATTTTCCTGAGTTTTGCACAAAGTTTGGAAATTTGATTTTTATGTTTTTTGGTGGAGTATGAACCACATTTGTATAAATAATTATCGCAAACAAATAAGAATAAAAAACTTTGCATATGTTGCGGAAAATTCACTGTGCCTATACTTTTGTTTGTCAGTGTAGACATATTGTATATAGATAAAAACGGGTGACAACCCCCTTTCAAGACTTTCGTTTAATACCTATATTTTATCTAATAGCTTAAATTAATACCTATAATATAATTGTATTTGAATTTAGTTTTCAAACAGGTGGTAACCATCTTTAAATAAATCAGAATTTCTAAATGTTCAGGTTGAACCTTTCTAAACACTCTTACGTTTGACGCCCTAATTTGAGTATAATTAACTTAAATTGGACTTTTAAAACAGGTGGCAACCCTCTTTAAAATATTTTCCAACCAAAACCCCATTAAATCCCTTTGATCTGACACCCACATTGTGATACATATTCCAATTATATAATACGATTTTCCCACAGCACCCCGAATTACTTTGTTCGCTCCCCTAATTACGATCGCAAATTATCCCATTCCCGAGAGCACATTCTTAATTCAATTTGACAGTTCTCTGTCTCTGTGTTTTGTCTTTTCTTTCTTTGCTAATGTAAGTTATTGCTAAAAATGTATAATTTTCTGTATTAAATTGATGATGTACACATGCATAAACTTTACTTTTCGTACTCCGAAAAAGTGCCAGCTTTGATTTGTGAAGTGGTAATTGGATCCGAATTACTAACAAATGTATACATAAATTACACAATTGGAAGGGTAATTGTAGTGCGAATTACGAATGAGAGAGCGAACTACGTATTTGGGGTGCCGTAGGAAAGCCGTATAAATTCCTTAATATAAGTAGAATTTGATTTTTAAAACACGTGGCAACCATCCTCATGTAGTTTAGAACTAAAGCCATTTTCAAACATTTCGATTGACAGCCATATTGTAGTAATTCATTTACTTTGTTGCTTTTTCAATTTCAATTTTTCAATTTGTCCTAATAAAGAATCGTGGTACAAATTAAAACATCAAACATAAAATACAATCAGGCGCAGCTATTCCCCTACAATTTATACCTGATCATGTATAAATTGTAGCGGAATAGCTGCGCTTGATTGTGTTGGCTTAGCAAAATGAAAAAATGGGAAAAAAGCAACGATAATTTACAAGGCGAACTTAGCACAGTGCATAGGCAACTGGCTGAGTCAGTGGGATCGTCGGTTCGAATCCTACTGAAAAAAGTCTGATGTGGAAATGTGCTGATTTCCGAAATAGCTATCATTTCTACCATTTTTTTCAAAAGTATTGTTGCCTTTTCAATAAGTTTTTCATTAAAAACGGCCTCGAGCTCAATAAAAATTCATTTTGTTTAAATTTTCAAGGAAATAAATCAGGTTTAATTTGATTTTTTAAGCAGGTGGCAGCCCTCCTCCATGGGTGTGGTATTGATTTTATATATTGTCGCATCAATTTCGAGTAAATTTGCGTTCTTAAACTTCGAAATATCGAAGTTTCAAGCATTTCTGAAATTTACCGTTATATGAAAAGTGGGCGTAATCTTAGACCGATTTCAATACTTTTCAACATTTTGCTTTTAAGTGGCAAGTACAATAATCGTACCGAGTTTAGTACAAATTGCTTGAACGATTACCGAGATACACTTCTTATGTGGTCATAGTGGGCAGTGCCACGCCATTTTTCAAAATGTTAACATTATTAGCTAAATAGTTATGGCAAGCATCAATTTTAAAATCAAATCAGCTAAGAGTTGTCGTAGATTTCGGAATTTCTCTAAATTACCGTTATATGGGATGTGGCGTGGTTATTGTCCGACTTTAAAAATTTTCTTGCTTTGGTATATTTTACCAAGGTCAACAACTGTGCCAAGTTTGCAAGAGATTGGTGGAGCGGTTACGAAGATATACACATGTAATCACAAGTAGGCGTGACTACGCCTCTTTTCCACTAA